CCCCCCCCCCCCCGAGCAAGGTGCGGTACAAGCAAGGTAAATACGCCGCATCGAACGTGCTCCGGTCGATCTCAAAAGTACCACGACAAACCAACCCAATTAGCACAGAAAAAGACGAAGCGGTGCCACATGCAGTGACATATACATAGCCCATTTTGCCATCACATATACCCGCTTGCTTCTCGCACCCTGACGCCCTCAACAGCCGCACCCCCCCGCACCCCGCTTGCTTTCCGCACCCTACCCAAGCCNCCCCCCCCCAGGCCGCATCAGAACGAGCACACCTACTGAGGGGCACAAGCGGCGCATTGCAACAACTCAAGCACACACACCTGGTGGCGCTATCGTCGAACCCTTGGGTTGTCGGGATGGTGAAGCCTCCCGCCTCTGGCTCCCTCGGCGCGGTCGAACCTCTCCCCGGCCTCCCGGCCGTCCACGACAGCCTCGCCCTCGGACCGCTGTGTGTTTTGTCCGGCGTGTGTTGGCATCGATGAAAACGTGTTGGGGGCGAGGGGCGGCGCAGAATGGTCAACCCCCGCCCCCCCGTTCGCGGTACGGAAGAAGACTTGATGGCTACACACACGGGTGGGTACATGCAAGATCTGCTACATGTATAGCGGAATCGAGGTGTAGAAAAAGCACCTGCACTCTCTCATGCTGGGTCTAACGTCAACAGTATGCTCTCCACCAATGTGCTCCGATCTGAAAGAGGGCCTTTGCCACCTGTTGGTGCTGCAGTCCCCGCAGAATAGTATAGATCGCACTTCGCTTTCATGTGCCAGTCGAACTCACGCCCGTCTCCTCACCCTCCGCTCTTGGAGCAACTGTCCTTGCCCCTAGGCACACCGCCGCCGCCGCTGATTCTCTCCGCCGCTACTCCAGTCGGCGACATGAGCACCATGATGTCTTTCGGCGACAACGTCGAGTTCGCGCCGCCGTACAAGCCCCCGGCATCCCCACCGCTCGACTCCCCCGCTGCGGTGTCGAGGTTGCTCGTCCTTTGCTGGAGAGCGCGGTTCTCGGATTCGAGCTCGGCAATGCGGCGGCGCAAGGCCGCGCACGTCTGGGTTAAGCCGTCCACGTAGAGCCCGGCTGGGTGGAAAAGAGTTGGCGGCAAGCCGGCGAATGGTGTTATGAAGATACGGAACTGGATTCGGTACGGGTTTCCAGAAAAAAATGCCTTTCCCGTGTGTTTTCCACAACAAAGAGGAAATCTGCAAGCGAATTGCATCATATGCGGCAAAACAATGGTGTTGTCTAGGCTGTTTTTACGCGCTTCTGTTTATGCGTAGACAATAGGATACACGTGTACGTGTAAGCTTTCCTCCGCTTCGTGCAACGGGGTAAAAAAGCTGGCGATATTATCAGGCTATCGCCTCGCGCAGGTGTAAACGGAGGCGGACAAGCTCCCCACCGCTGTATATTCCGCACCCCGTTGGATATGCACACATGATTTGTCACCAAACGCGAACGGCAGCATTCTAGCAAACCACGTGTGTACATGCGTACATCATCTACTGCTATATCCACCACCCACCGTCTCTGGAAAGTTAATCTGGAAAGTTTCTCTTGAAGACGGGAGACAATTTCACACCATCCGTGCAAATGTTTTTGTTTTTCTCCCATCATTATATTCTGTCGTCTGTCCCTCTGGCCCCTATCCTCCACTTCTACCAGCTAGACGACCCAACCGGGCTCACATAGGAGGGGGGGGTTGAACCCCCTCCTGCGATTCCTGCCTGAGATTTTTTTGTCGCGAGAAGGGTACAGCAATCCCTTCCCTCGCGACTCATGGAGTCGATCAAGTTTACTAACAACGAGCTTTGCAGCGCGTCGCTTCCAACGGAGATCAGGATTTAATAAGCCAGAAAAAAACTCACTCTGTCGGGGCTCGAACCCATGACCTGGCCCTTACCAGGCTGCGAGGCTACCCACTAGACCACCGGGGCGACCGGTAGTGTATGTGTCAGCTCACGAAGAATAGCGGATAGATTCACAATGTGACAATGTGTGTAATGTACAGCAGCATCCAGGCACAACATGGACAGCAGTTTGACTGGATCTCTGCTATACCGCCTTCAGCGCATGATGCCGCAGCGGTGGAAGCCCCCCCCAAAACATGATATTGTACAACAGCATCAGCGTCTCTGTTAGTCAATGCAGGGGAGCGTGCCCCCAATGTGAACATTAACATTTGCTTCCAAGTTCAAACTTAAAATTTCCGAATCGGCCCGCCGTCCTGTAGAGAACATCAGCGCCGGGTCGAGGAAACGTGTTAGGACGTTCGAGAAACGACGCCGAGAAATGAAATTTTGAAAAATTGAAACGAGTTGGTCCTTTAGTATACAGATTATCTTTTTTGGTAACTTGGAAATCTGGAAAAACGATGGCTGCTGTTTAAAACGCGCCCGTAACGCGCCCGTAACGCGCCCGTAACGTGCCCCTAACCCCCAGGTTCCGGCCCAGCCGGCATAAAGTACATACAGCTGCAGTAGAACGACAGTGAACCTCTCACATCACACCCCGCTACTCCACCACATCATCTGATTTACTCTGCACATGCGGCAATCAGGCCATGTGCACGTGTAGTCACCAAAGCAGGAGAAACGGCGAATACCAGTGCCGGAACGGCTACTGCGCCCAACGATGGAAAGAGAGCAGCAGCAGCAGCAAATACCATTGACCATTGACCCGTCCCAAACTGCCGTGCGCAGAACCAAAGGAAGAACATTCCGTGGATAAAAAGGCCAAACCGCCGGAAGTCGCCACAGCAGTCCCACTGCAGGCATGTACATATCTCTCTTACCTTCTTCGGTAGAAAGACCCGCAGGTAGACCGTACTGCCCCACCAGCGCTGCTGGAGGACCCGGCGAGGAGGACATTACCCCAAGGGCCGGACAAGCAGCAGCCGCGTCACCCAGCAGCTTGCTCTGTGCTATGCTACGCCGTTGCGGTTAGTATGCTCTCGTGGTCTGTTGGATCCTTCCCTTATTCAGAACTAACAGTGTCCAACAAGGACACAAATTGCACACAAGCTCCTTACGTTGAGGTGTGCCTTTTCTAACGCGGCCAGCAGGCCTCTGACCTGTGTGGCCTAGTGTACCGGCAAGCCGTGTGGTCTGGCGTACCACACACTGCAAATGGTTAACATCATGTAACCCCGTGATATGCAAATTTGTTGTTCTTCTGCTGCGTATGCCGTTGTCCGCTAAGCAAACCGCGTCGCCCCTTGCTGTCCTTGCTTGTCCTTGCCAGTCCTTGCTTGTGCGAAACAAAGAAACAAAGCGGCGCGTCTGTTACTGTCGACGCGACGCTGCATGCAGTGCGGGACGTTACGGCGTTACCGCCCCGCTTCACTTGTACCTGGCCTCTGGTCCCTTCCAAGCTGAGCGTCCAACAAGTTCGCGAGGAGCTGCTTTAAAATCTAGCCGAGAGAGAGGTGTGTGTTTGTTTGTTCGGCCTGCTCTTCCCTCGGGAAAGTTCCCGGAACGGAGGGTTAAGTAGACCCAACCGTGATCGGGCCTACCGCTGTAGCACACACACTAGGGAGCGTCACACCATGCCAGCTCGACGTCCGCGACCACGGCCGCAATTACAAGAGTTTGTCGCGGTTGCTACTCTCCTGGGGTCGTTGGCACGATTCAGCCTGGCAGAGCGTGCACATGTGCACCTCGTTGTCGCCGCGGGCGGCGAAACAGCATCGAAGCCATTGCTCGAGGATGGCGACAAGATGGGCGACGCTGACAAGGGCGGGGGTGCGACGGCCCAGCAGCAGCAGCAGCAGCAGCAGAGGTTGTTTGTCCCGCTCACGAGGCGGGCCAGAGCGGGCGGTGCCGTGTACGGCGTGGATGTGCGCGATGAGGGTATCTCGCGTCGGAGACTTGAGCTTGACGGGGCTGGCGGGGCAACAGCAGGTGAGTCGAGACAACCTGAGGACTAAGAACAAACCACGGATCACAACAGCAGGGGGTCTAACCATTACATTGTCGAGTCTGACCGCACCGGGCGCTTGTCATACAGTAGTTTCGATACACAATCTTTTACTTGTTCTTCTTTATAGTTAAAGAGTATAACACAACGATCCATCTCTATCCATAGAGAAGTCTACAGCAGTATCATAGACTATAATAGCAATTCATACGTCAGCGGAGTCTAGACTACACCTGTAATTGCTACAGCTTCTCGAGCAGCACGCAGCGATTGATCCCCCGTGGGTAGCAGGGGCAACAATATTTTGTTGACGTTTTGGTGCCAAAGCAAGAAAAAGCAAAGTTGTTTCCCTTCGCTCCAAGAAAGGTCCAATCGGACGGACTTGGGACGAATGAATGTGCTTGGTACAGTCCAGGTATCCAAGTACTACAGACGTCCGTCGTAGGTAGGCTGGAGGTAACCATGGTGCTGTTTGTAACACCCCTCTTCGAAAACGCACCAAGCTTCTATGCACAGATAGGGCCGTCCCGCTTTGCTGCACGGTGGGCTCACCGCTGGAGGTGACTTATGGGGGCTTGGGGATGTGTTTGGGCCGCAGCGGTGCACCGGCGATGTGCTATGCATACGCACGGCAATCGATTGACAGCATCGACACTCGTATGCATGCATGTTGTACTGCTGTTGTGTCCGGCATTCAGAAGCTCCGCACACACGGGACCCGTCATGAGCTATTGTAGCTCACCTATAATGCGTCTTGCAGATCACCATGGAATAAACATACCCCGACCGTCTGTGTCTTTCAGATCACCCATGTGAGCAAACTATGGCCGGATCACGTACTGTATGTCCTTCAGATCATCTTGGGCTAACATTCCCCTACCACCTAGACTCTTGATGCAGATGCCTCTCAGATCTTCTGATTGATACACGCCCCGATCGTCTATATCCTTCAGATCACCTCATCCAAACATACTCAAGATCATCTATGTCCTTCAGATCACCTCATCCAAAAACACCCCTATCACCTGTGTCTTTGAGGTCGCAATGGAGCAAACATACACGCCCCGGTCACCTATCTCCTTCAGATCACCTCATCCGAACACACCCCGATCACCTGTATTTCAGACCATCATGGACCAAACATACTATAAAACCCAATAATTTTTGTCCTTGAGATCAACTCGGTCACACATCCCCCGATCACATATGCCCTTCCCATCACCTCGGGCAAAGATACTCAGCTCACCATGTCCTTCATGTCAATTCGGGCAAAAATACACAGATCACCGGTATCCTACCGATCACAAGGCGCATGCCTTCGATAGATGATATAGCTCGATCTGTAGGGATCTGATATGTCCTGCATTTGCTTGAGCTTAAGCCACCACGTGTGCCCCGCAAACAGAGCAGCCCTCTTTGTCATGTGCGAACGAATTACTATTACGTTCCTGTTGTTGTCTTCCGCTGGGTTGTTGTTGTTTGTTGTTGTTGTCGTTGTTGTTGTTGTTTCTCACATTAGCTCTATAGTCCACAAAAAATGGGGAGCCCGTGGTCTCAAAACCTGGCGCATACGACGCCGCGGGGAAATAAAACAAAAAAAGGGTACAAAGCACTCGGAAAAAGACAACAAAATGATAGAAAGAAAAGAACATATATCGCGCCGACCGTTCGAGAAAAGAGCCCTCGGAAACCGATCAAAATAAGAGAAAAACAAAAATAAAGGAGGACGCTTCCCTCACCCGCCTAAAGAAAAAATCAAAGGGTAACGTACCAGCACCAGGCACTACGCACCAGGGCATGGGAGTAACGGAGCAAACAGGGCAGAGAGGCGGCAGATGGGCAGACAGTCAGACAGTCAGACGTACAAAAACAAAGGCAACAGCAAAAGCGAGATCAAGGTACCCAACACTGCAGAGTAGGCAGGGAGGTCATGAAAAAAAGAAACACAGCACAGAGGCCGAAGGCAACACAAAGGACATACATAAAGGAGTATAGCATACAGCAGGGAGGGAAATAGGGCGCAACAACATCAGCCGGGTACATGGTTCGCCACAAGTGCTGCCTCGGCCGCCCTGCTCGCTTCTACAGCAGTGCCCGATCGCCGTTTCTTCCCCCCCACCGCCGCTTCCCCGGCTCTCTTGCTCTTCGGTCCTGAGATGGCCGAACTCTCTGCTTCTGCTTCCCTCGCGCGCTGGCGCTTCGCGGACGCTTCCGCCTCCTGCCTGTGTCATTTCCTCATGAGTCATGCCGCCCCGTCCTCGACCTTGTTGTACCACACCTCCGGGTCCTTGGCGCTCTCTTCCCATTTACCCCCCTTCCTTTTCGTCTCCCATGTTGAAGGCCACGAGGTCCTCTCGTAGACGAGACACCCAGTCGCTCTCCTTCCCGCCCCGGTATCCCACGCCCCCCGCCATCGCTCCTAACAGCATGCGCTTGGGGAGGCGGCTGTCCTCCATGCGCATAACAAAGCCCGCGAAACACTGCTGGGTGTGGGTGGGTGGTCTCTACCTTCGGCTGGGGACGACGCGAAGGAAGGTTAGAGCCCAACTTCGCCCGTTGTTACAGCTGGCTAAAGCTTCATGACACTGTAAAGGGGATCCACTCGCACATGTGAGTGTAGAGAGCTGGTCAACGACTAGACATAATTCTGAACGGCAACTTCTCAAGCCACGAGAGGGAAAATTGTAGTATATGAAACAGGAGACATGTGCAGGGTCCACGTGTGTACAAGCATGGCGCCCCCCTTCCCTGGTGGATGACAAGCAACAACAGCAGCAGCAGCGTCCCCTCGTACAGCTACTGTTGTGGGCACCACATGTCAGTATATAAGGCTTGGGGCACCTTATCTCGTGTCGGGCAAACACCCTTTTTACACTCTCGGTCGAAAATGATCAGATCGCTCCTTACTGCCTTACGACACTTATCAAGTGATAGCTGCAAGTATCAGTACCAAGGAGGACATCGTAGAGTTGTTGCTTATATAACGACCAGAAGTTGGTTTCGGTCGTGTCGAGCTATTTTCCCGCTATGCTATCGCCGTACTTACCCGTTCATCCGGATGAGACAAGATGCCGATAAATGGTTCGCCTGCTACACGCTACTTCGTAACCAGCTGATACAGTGGTATGTGCGCTAATGCATACCACAAAGTCGATGCCGGTCTGAGCTGATTTTTCGCAGTTTTTGAGACCGTGCTCCAATCCCAAGTTTACTTTTTAGCCACATCCCGTAAGTCTTCGCCATCTAGGCCTTGGCGTGGGGCAGGTTTGTCATTATTTGTTTGTCGCTGATGGAAAACCAGCGGCGTGCCCGGTAAGGGGGAAGAGAGAGTGTCGGATGCGGGAGGGGACAGCACCACAAATTGAATACCGAAGATTGCATTAGACCCAACCACCCCCGGACCGATTTTCAAGGCTCGATTGCTCCGTGACCAAGAGGATGCCAAAAGGCAAACGATACGTGTTCTTAACGCTCTCGACGGGACGGTTTCAACGTCGACATTTTCGGCATCTTCACTGCTTTCCCAGCCGAGTATGAGGCTTTGAATGTCGGCCCAGGGGGGCTGATATCTTACGCAACCCACCGTATTGCCGTCGGTGACATTACGTAATACAACACCCCCCATAGACAGATTCTCAAAGCTGGTTTGGTCGGCAGCAGAAAGAGTGACGGCGCCGAATATAGCGGTGTTGGTTTCTCGTCGAGAACTTCCGAAAACCTATCGCTCGATTTTCAACGTCATTGTTCTCTCATGATGAAGTCGATCGAGCTTTGAAAATCGTCCAGGGGTGTGCCCTGTATCACGCACGGTATGTTGGCTGTCAGTGCGCTTCTACTACAAGAACCGGGTGACGGTGATCTGTAAAAATGTCGACATTAAAAAGGCACATCGGAGTCGTATACATCCATGAGTTTGTTTCTCACACATCCGCTAACGGACGCGGTTGTCCGGCTCCCGTACTACTTCCACCACAAAACGAAGGGGTTTCCAGTGGCGGGGGAGAGGGGGTGTCCGACGCCGAGGGTGAGGAGGGCTACGAAGGGAACATGCTAACCCTCGTGGACTACTACAACAACCAATACGTGGGGATAATCGGCATTGGCTCCCCCCCACAGTACCTCTCCGTGGTCCTCGACACGGGCTCCAGCGACCTGTGGATACCAGGCATGGGCTGCACGGCGTGCGGGAATCACGCCACCTTCGACGGCTCCAAGTGAGTGCCGAGAGAGGCCTAACGAAGGTTCCGATATCCTTGTTTGCATGTATTTGCGTTGTGTTTGTTTTTTCGGCATGGCGTGCGGGAGTTTTGCCAATTTCGACGGCTTCAAGTGAGTGCCGAGAGGACGCAAGAAACCACCGAGTATCGAAGGTTTCGGTATCCTTGTGTGCATGTTTTTTGTTTGTTTGTGTTATTTTTTTCTGCACGAGGTGCGAGTTATACTACGCCACTTTCGGCGGCTCCAAGTGAGTGTCGAGAAATCTCAAACCACCGAATACCGAGGGTTTGATATCCTTTGTTTTTTTGTTCTTTTTTTCGGGGACCTCTCGGTGTGATTGAGTGAGTGAAATGAGTGATTGAGTCGCGAGGCACTTGCATGCTGCTGCACGCTCCCATCACCAACCTGTCGTTGATCCTCGCTAAGGTGCCTTGCGTCTCACGATACTCCTACCACCACCCTCAGTTGGCTGTCGCCAAGTTGCCTTGCATCGCACGATACTCCCATCTTCGCCTTGTAGATAATCGTCCCTAACCTGGCTTGTTTCTCACGATACGCACATCTTCGCCTTGTAGATGATCGTCCCTAACCTGGCTTGGGTCCACGATATTCCCCATCACGAACTTGTAGATGGCCGTCTCTAACCTTCCTTGCGTCTAACGAATTCCTCTGCGTGCCCAGGTCAAGCACCTTCGGCCTCCTCACAGAGGACGGCGGGAACTCAGCGGAGGCCGGAGTGGAGCCGAAGATGTTCGAGGTCGACTACGGTAGCGGTAGCGTCTTGGGCATGGAGGGGGTCGACGACGTTAATCTCGCTGGTCTAGACCTGTCGCAAGTGCTGTTCGGTCTCGTGCTCTACGAGGACCAACAGGTGGGTGGACTTATCGGTTCAGTCAGCGGATTGCCTTAGATTTTCTATGTAGAACATGCACCGCACTATCAAGCGCACCGCCCTACATGTATGTAGCGAGGATCAACAGGTGGGTGGACTTTTTTGGTTCAGTATTGCGGGTAGTTTTGGATGCGCTCTCAAGACGGAGAGATCAGCCGCATTGTGCAGCGTTCGGTATTGGAATTTTCACGGCGCCGGTTGAAATTCCTCCGGACCTCGAGGTTTTCGGAGTGTAGACCCGAGTAAGCGCTCGCACTCAACCAGCTAACAACACCAGGGTTTCAAGTTTGTCAAGCATTAGAACTTGAACCCATACGTGTTGATGTGGTATACCGTAGGTGATGACATGGCATACGGTAGGTGCTGATATGGTATACCGTAGGTATTGATTCAACCCACAGAAAAGAACGAACTCAGGGTTGCGCTCAAAGCAGGAGGTTCTTGAGCTTGAAACCCATTCCCCGAAGGCGGTATCGCCGGAAAACGAAAACCGCTTACCGCCGAAAAATATTACCGCCTCATATTGCAAAACCACCCCGCCTGTGTCCGCTAACAAAGACGGTACCGACAACCCTGCGAATTTTCTAACAATGTGAAACGGCAGATCCGAACGTTCATGATGGACGGGATCGCGGGGCTTGGGTTTGGCGGTCTGAGCATGGTGACGACGCCCACGCTGCTGGAGCTCCTTCACAGAGATCATCCGGAGGTGCCGAACGTGTTCAGCGTCTATCTGTCGTGCGACCCCTCGGACACGTGAGTAACTTTGCTTGGTTGCTTTCGGTTGGTTGGTTGGCTGGCTGCTTGGTTGGCTGGCTGCTTGGTTGCTTGATGGCTTTGCTGCCTAAGAGTAACGGCCTGTATGAGCGGTTGTAGCAACCGCCAAATGGTCGGTAGGAGTAGAGCAGGGATATGATGTCCATGAGCAATCGGTTGTAACGAGAAACTGTATGTATGAGTTTTGTACCGGAAGGAAGGATGTGCATGTACACTTTTGCACATATATCATGGAGTGAACGAAGTCTCTCCTTTGGGTCAGCGGGTAGAGCGACCATCCTCCTTGTTTCGGTGCAGTCTTGTGGCAAGCGCATGTCGATTCTCCTCCTGACACCCGCTTCACATACCGACTGCGTACCGTGTTCCACTCACGACAGCACTGCCGGTGATACGGTACCTTCATGAGTAATTGGTATCGCCTGTGGTGTTATGTGTACCTCTTTGCCCTTGCACGTGGTATGGACGGGGTGTGATGTTCTGTGCAAAAGGGAGGTGTGTTTTTGTAAAGTTGCTTCCTTATGTGGACCATGGCGTCCGCAGTTGCTACTCCTGCTCGTAGCAGACTGCCCCCCCCCTTCCCGCCCCTCCCACTCATTGCACCACCCGTTTCACCATCGCTGTCGCTGTTGCTGTCGTATGCCAGGGAAAAGCCGAGCCACATGCTGTTCGGCAGCTATGACCTGAGCATCGTTTCGGAGGGCGCCGCTTGGCACTACACCCCCGTCATCCGACATTCTCGAGGCCAACTCAGGTATGCGTATGGCTTGTTTCCCCCTTCCTCCCGCACACACGCCTCCGTTCCCTGGTAAGCAAGGTCTGGCGACATGTGTCGTTTTGATAGCTTGAGATTAAAGAACATGGTGACTGTTTTTCCAAGACGGTCCTGTGTTTCGAGATACATGAGGGCGGCACGAAGTTACCGCATTTCTTGCCCCGCAATGACAGCCGCCATCTGGGGGTAGTTTTGTTTGTGAGGTTTGCTCGCTTTTTTATTTACGAGGTTTTGTCGCCCTCTTTCTCTTCGTGTCCGTCCCCGTGTAACATCACCGTCGATCACGCACGTCTAACCCCACCGTCTCTCTTGAGAAAACATGCATACAATCGAAGAGAGACTACTACCCATTCGAGATAATCACACACTCTTGTAGGTTGTGTTGACGTCTTTACAGTGAGTGGGAAGAAAACCGGCGCCTTGTTTCTTGCGACTAGCTCACCTCAATATTCCACCTCATTTATCTTGCCACTACCTTTTTTAGTACCCTTTTCAGGGTAAGCTAGTCTGTGACCGGGAATCGGCCGCGTCAAATGTTAGATGAGTACGGACAGATGAAGGCACTGGGTAGAGAACTCGGAACGGTTTCTTAATGTGAAGACAACAACAACCTCCCTCGGCTCAAACCCCACTGTCTTTTCTTGCGGGATCCGCGACGCTACATGACGCGCGCGTGCTGCGCAGATATTGGACGGTGAAAATGACGGCCATGGCTATGGTGACCAGCTCACCCCTCGCGGACACGGCGGAAGAAGAGGCGACGGCTGAACAGCCGGCGGAAGGTTACGAAATTCCTCACTTGGGTGGTTCGGCAGAAATAAATCTGTGCTCCTCCGGTTGCTACGCCATCGTCGATACAGGGACCTCGGGTGAGAGGAACGCCCTTAGCGGTTACGACACCCTCCGTTTAACTTTTTTTTTTTCACCACACGGCAACGCAACCAGTTCCATCTCTGCCCACACATAATCAACAAGCAACACAAAGAGTGTCATCTATTCAACTGAGTACCTGTTGCCAGATGTCAAATTCTCGATTTTTGGTCCTATTCGAGCCTGAAGTTCTCGACTCCTAGGTTCTCGAGTGGTGTCTTCGCGTGTTTCCTGGTCTGTATAGAGTTCTCCCTTGGACGACGACACCGCGTGCTGCTTGCTGTCTACACGCCACCATCGCAGCGTACTGGCTATGTTTGTTTTCCTGCAATACCCACCTCCCCACCGCTCCCCCCGGTGTTTGCAATCGGGGTTGGTTTTTCGTCGCTTGGCAACGACGTTGTAAAACAAGGCAATTCACTTCGTGAACTCGGCATCCAGGTTACCGTTTTTGTTTTATTTACCTCTGTTTTTGTTTGGCGGCAACCATAATGGTGGTCGAGTAGATGATGTTGTGCGGGGTGGAGAACCCTCACTCTGCGCAAGGGGGATGATCGCACCACGTTGTGTTAAAATGGTCAAGCACCCTCGAGGCAGTTACACAGTGCTTACAACTGTCTGAGGAAGTGAAAGCACCAGAAAATATATTAAGTTATACGCAGCCGTCAACCGTATGCAAGGAAATAAGCACAAGATGCCGAAAACCCTTAGCAGGATGCAGCGCACCCTTCATACGACTCGCCGAATACCTCACGGCGCTTTGCGCTTGGTGATGTGAGAGCCTGGTCCGGTGAGAACCCGGGGGCTCCGTCCCGGCTTTGTAGGGATGCGAGGTCAATGGTCTAACGACTACGGCATGCACGACAGTGAGTACCCCCCCCCCCCACCTATTGTTGCCGGTACGGCCGCTCTTCGCCTGGCCGCATGGCGTCCGCTTTCTCGCCATTGGTACTCGTGCTGCTGTCTATAAAGGGTTTGGGGTGACATTCATTACCCACCCCCTACCTTTTCGGTTGCGGATTGGGGGTTGGTTCCTCCCGCGTGAGACCCGCCTTTGCGGGAAATTCAGAATAATGATGAAATAGAACAGGCAGGGGGGACGCAAACAGTATTCCTTAACCCTAACCGTAACCCAACTTCCCCGATTGTATGCTTCATCCCACATGTTTGCATAATACAAAACCCTGCCAAGGCTATCGCCCGCCTGTGTGCTGGTATCACCCCTTTCTTATTCTTGCCTCGCATGATACTCTCCCTTCCTTGACGCCGCTTGTTTGCCGCCCAGATGAAGATACCACCAACTCATTTGTTTACACAGCCCTCGGTTTCTCCACCGCCCCCCCTCCAGCGTTCCCCCCAGCTTTTGACACAATCTCCGACCCGACATGCAGTGAAACAGTGGACGTTTGGTCCCCTGTAGTGGGGGCAAGCGCAAGTCGGCACGAGCCCCACTCTGATGCGTGATCCAAAGCGACGTCCACTTTAATCCCCTGGCGTTTAAGCCCCTGGCGTATTTCCCTGTTCTGCTCTCCTCGAAACTACGCGGCACTGACGCTGACGCGAACACTGACACACAGGGATTGCCGTGCCCGAGGACTACTTCTACACGCTCGCGGAACAGATCACGGAGGCCAGCGGCGCATCTTGCAAGGGAACCACCTGCTATGGTACCAAGGGCTCCGACTTCCCTGATCTGGTAAGTAGCGCCCCCTCCGCGTGGGCGCTTGATGGCGTGCACACCGCTTCTTCTGAAGAATGGATGGCGGTCGCATGCGTGTTGGTAGTTTTGGCCAGCGACCTGTAGATATCGTCGTCACGTGCGGGATATTTTGGAGTACGGAGGGTGATGCCATCGAGATGTCGGTCTCAATCGTCTGCCGGCCGCCTGTATGTAGATTGCCCGCTCCATCTAAAAAGCCGAACCGGCAGATGCTTCCTGTTACTGTCGGCGTGTCGGTTGGACATGTACGTGCAGCTGTTGATCCGATGTGTTTGACGATTCGTCTTTCCTGGATATAGTGTTTTCCCCTCCGCACAATGCCAGCATCAAGAGCGTTGTATGTGGTGGGAGTTTTGAGAATCACACCCTCGCGGGCAGCTTCATTCAAACATCGCTTGTGAATTTAATTTTGTATTCGCTCGTTCAACTTGTATTCGCTCAATGTAGCAAGTTGAACGTATTCTACCACTCTTGGCAATTATGCCGCCTTCCCTCTGGGATGTTACCGCCTAATCGCGCCGCGTGTCCTTTGGAGAGCAACCGCCGAATTGCGCCGCCCGCCCTGTACCCGCTGCTGCCATTTCGTCAGATGTTCGAGCTGTACCCCTCCAACAGGTTCATTTTGCGGGGAGAGGACTACACCGTGTGCAACCGCAGGGGCCTTTGCGTGGTGAAGCTGCAGCCGAGCTTCGGCGGCGATTTTTGGATCCTCGGGGATGTTTTCATCGAGGTAATACTCAGAGAAGCCATGTTTTCGTTTCTGAGATTGAGGATCAATGTCCTTACCGCTAATAAGTGTTGTGAGTTTCGTTTGCACGTCGTGTTGGAAGCCGAGAGCATCCGTCGGTTGGGCGACCATGTGATTGGACGGGTGTCGTCATCAGAGTCTTGCTCCATGTTTTTCGCATATCATATGATGCAGTGTCTGCTCGCGCTGTGCCTCGTCAAGCCCCTAAAGCGTCACGACGGCGCCCTCGACCTTGGCAGGCGTACTATACCCTCTTCGACGCGGAGAACCTGAGGGTGGGATTCGCCTGCACGGGGAACGGGTGTTCTGGCGGCACGTGGCACGGGCAGGGTGGCTTCATGGAGATTGAGGACCAAGCGTCTTGGCGAAGGTGTGGAGGCGGCTCCAGCGCGTTTACAAGTAGCGGCAGTTGGTGGTGTTCTACCGTGGCCAGTAATGAGGAGATATTTGTATGTGCCTTCTGAGGAGCAATTGCGCTCGCCGTCGTCGATATTGATTCGTTCAGTGCTCGGATGTTTCGCGGAGTTCCTGGTTGTGTCTAGGGGTAAGTTTAGTTCGTCGTGAGGAAACCGATGGATGAAGTGATTTGGGTACGTGCCTCTTGCCAAACAGCTTTGGACTCGTTTGGCACAGCACGAAACGGTCAAGTTTGTTCAGATGTTCCCCTTTGAGTGCGGAACGTAAATAAAAACCATACTCCAGTAACGGGTTTCCAGGCAGTGGGTGGTGTAGGTGAAGCTCGAACGACACGGTGTCACCCACCCCTCTCGAGCGCGGGGCGCGATTCTCCCTGCACCTTTCGATGCCATCCTGCTTGCTCCCACCACAACTAATCTCATCTCCACCCTTTCCGCCCCCCCCTTCGTTCGCTGCCCAGTTACGCGTCGACGTTGTCGATAGTAGTTTGCCTGCTGTCCGCGGGCTACATCATCTTCACCTACGCCTCGCCCGCGTACAAGCGCAGGAGGTCCCGAAGGGAGTACGACATTATCGCCGGCGGCGCGGCGGCCACGGGTACGGCTACCACACCGGTACCCGGCGGAGCCGCCCCCGCCGGAGGAGGGAGGGGCTCGCCGGGCGGCGACGGGGCAGGGCCTGAAGGGAGTTTACAGGGCGTGGATGACGTGTTGGGGAAAGGGTGGAAAGCGTACGGGTCGACTGACGAGGCGTCGGCTGGGGCTGGGTGCTTACCACCTTCGAGTAGATGATTGACGGAGATTTGGTAGATCGGTAGAGAAGTTGTTGCTCTTGTCATGGGGCTTGGCTGTCGTCCTTGCAGGTTTTGTAAAGAGGGCAGCAAGCGTTTGTTGGTGTATCATCTTAATAGTCGTTGGCGTCAGCCGTCATCCAGCAGAAGAAGAGGTTTATTTGTTCTCTTTTGCGGTTGTCCCGTGGGAGAGCAATGGTGATAGGGTTAAATGCACGACCGAACGGGCGTTTTTGTGACTCTCCTGCTCGTGTGTTGATCGTTTTCCGTTGCCTGTATGTATTGTCGGAGGTTTATCGCACGTAGACCCGTTGTCCATGCACCGACTGAACTGACGTGTGCGGCGGTGAGGCAGTGCACCGTATTGGGTGTATCCTCCGTCAATCACTCTGTCTCAACCTGTCCTGTCGTTGTGGGTGTCATCGGGCCGTTTTCCGGACACTGTTGACCCATCAGAAGAGCACCGCATATCTTTCAGTAGGAGAACGGGGTATGACAAATACCTATGCGAGTGTGTGGTTCGTTGTGTCGCGGGACCTACTCAGGGTAACTGTTGCAAAATGTAATTCTATTAACTAGATCGCCCGTGCGTCGTTTGTCTGGATACAATCGTACATGCGCTCTTGCCTCGAGGACAGTTACACTCATTCAGCGAGTTGTCGTGGGTACACCTTTTTCCTTTGGGTAACAGACAAATCGCGCCGTGGAGAACTCTTCTGCGTCTGGAACGGTGTACCCCCCTCTAGGGGCAGTTGGCTTGTAACCACGGAGGGCGTCCGCGCAGTTGGACCAGTACGGACATTGGAAGGTACGGAGTGGAGATCCGAACGGTTTCCAATGTGAAAACAACAGCAACATACACCAAAAATGCTGTGTTTACCATGCTCTGGACCGCCTACGCAGGATTTTAAGGGTATCAATTTTGCTGCGTAGGCCACCGGGGAAATTCCGCCCCAGCTGATGATGTTTCATGCCAATTCCACCGTACAGCAGTAGGGCACGGAGCACCGCCAAGAAACAACAGTGGTAGCTGCAGGGAGAGCAGTGAACACAGGGAGGATGGTAGAACCAGCAACAAGGAGAGAAAGACGAGCGCAAGCAGATGAACACATCTCTCTTGACCTGCAACGAACGCTCTTTTTCATCCGGAAAAGTATTCGCGTAGCCTCACCCCGCTTTCAGATCATGCGGCCGCTTGGTGAAATGACAGCCCAAAACACAAGGATGGACATTCTGGACACAACCCCTTCCAATTTATTGGAAAAGTCCAGGTTCCTTGGTCGTCGCTTCCAAGTTTTCAGAACAGAACAATCCTTTTTGTCGATGGTTACAAATTTTGTAGACAGCACAGCAGTACTCTTCTTCTTCCCCTCGCTCCTCGACAAGCTTTTGCTTAGACATGGGTTGTAGCGAAGGGGGGGGTCTCTCTGGCGAGCAGGGCTAGACTCACCCTCAAGGGATGACCGAAACCTTCTTGCTGCTGCGCATCCGCCGCGAGGCGTGCGTGTGGTGGTGGAGTTGGGTCGGCACTGATGGGGTCAGGCGGGAAAATGTAGATGCGCGGGCCTTTCTGGCCGTCGGCGTTGGCAGTGATGCCCATCTCATTTTTGTGCGCGGAGGCAGACACCATCAGAAAGGTGGACGGGCACTACACGGCCCTAGGTTTGCTAGAGGGAGCTGTATTGCCTCAGTAACCTGGCTTCGCCATCAAAGGAGGAGGGAGCAGGTGGCGACGAGCTGAACTAGGCTGGTATTGACCATTCGGCGCGAGAATTTATTTTGTTCAGACCAAGAACCTTGAGTGCAATGAGGGAGAAAGCGAGGAACGGACTGGGAAGGACAGCAACGAGAGCGTGTACGGACGGAGCAGGTCGAGTGGCGTTTTGCTCGGGCTGACTACAGCGGCGCCGGATGGAGCAGTGGCACCGGAGCATGCGGGCGACATCGGACCGTGGCGCACGGACAAACATTTCTATCTGTGTTGTCAATTTTTTTCGTTTTTTTTCTGACTTTCCGTGTTGGTTTTGTGTGATGACATCGTCACCGGTTTTGTAGAGAGACCCGTCAGAGATGACGTGGCTAACCCGGGTGCATTGGTTTTGTGCCTGATCGTGGAAGACCCCTTCAATGTGGAACGATTCTTAGCTAGTGTCGATATTTTTCACTGCAGTGCCTAACACAGACGATCGGGAGAGATTCGGGTGATTGTCAATTGCTGCTATGATGGCTTTGGTTGGTTGTTCTTTTTCACTGTACGGCCGCAGACACATTCTGACAGCACTTCAAGCATCAGCTTTGTGCCCCGCCAGCTTCTTGTTCCATGCCTACCATGGTGTTTTTGTACAGACAGCACTTCAGACAGCAGTATGCTGTAGTCGGCAATCTTCCGTTTTGGTATAGAGTGGGACAGGGAGGGGGTGATGCTACTGTAGTCGAACGGTGGGACGGACGTGCAGTTCAGTTGTTGGGCACGCATACGGTGCTGCAGGGATTTTTAGGTGTACCTCCTCGGGCTCTTGGATACCTTTTTCTCGTTATATGTGTGCGTGTTCTTTAGATCCTCAGATGGCTCTACCACTTTCGTGACCACGGGCTGAGAGTCGTTGCTAGATTTTGGGATTTAGCAACTGACATACGGTTTAATGTGGAGACAACAACAACAACAAACAACTTGAATTTTCCGGAACGGGTGTGTTCTGTAGGGTACAGGTACTCTCTGTAGGGTACCGGGGGTGTCACAGAACTCACAGAACTATTCTGTATTGTGCGAGGGGGTTACAGAACCTCACAGAACTATTCTGTATTGTGCGAGAGTGCTACATAACTATTCTGTAGGGTACCGGCGGTGTCACAGGAATTCACAGAACTATTCTGTAGGGTACCAAGGGTGTCACAGAACTCACAGAACTATTCTGTATTGTGCGAGGGGGTTACAGAACCTCACAGAACTATTCTGTATTGTGCGAGAGTGCTACATAACTATTCTGTAGGGTACCGGCGGTGTCACAGGAATTCACAGAACTATTCTGTAGGGTACCAAGGGTGTCACAGAACTCACAGAACTATTCTGTATTGTGCGAGGGTGCTACAGAACCTCACAGAACTATTCTGTATTGTGCGAGGGTGCTACAGAACTATTCTGTATTGTGCGAGGGTGTTACAGAACTATCCTGTAGGATACAGGGGGCGGCACAGAGATATTCTGTAGGGTACAGGGGGTGTTACAGAACTCTGTGTCTACACAAGAGCCCCCGGAAATTACGCGGTATACCCGTGAATTACCCTACAGAACATGACGAGTTTGACGACGTGCGTGTTTACGACGAAGGTACAGGAAGAGAGGCAAGGGCGCTATAGCATTGAACAAAATAGAAATCGTACCCAGCACTGAAATCAGCCTATCGTTCAAATCAAATCAACTGCCGTACGTAGCTGCGCCGTACTTAGTTTGCGACCGCGAAACTGAAGTTCGGTAACACAACACCCAAGAGCAGAAGCCTTAGCCTTCCCATGCGACTCCGACTCAACCTACTTTGACTGCT